CTCATAAATGAAGTTTCCTGTACCTTGAAGTTTAAATTAAATACATAACTTCGAGCCAAACTCCTAACTTTACTGTACTTTTCTTGTGAATCGTTTCATATACCTTATTCTTAAGTTAAAAGAAGAGGTCCAACGACGATTTCTTATTTCAGCTTTCTCATACGATCGACCTTTTGTAATTTCTTTTCAGTCTTTTTTTTATATATCTAATAACCTTTCCTGTACCTTTAAGTTCCACCAGTATACTTTATATATTCGAGCAAAAACGTATACTTTATATATTCGAGCAAAACTCCCCCCTTTACCTTTTTGCAAATCGTTTCATTTACCTTATTCTGGAGAATAAATAGAAAGGTTCCAGGAAGACTTCTTACTTCAGGCTCCTTAATAACTGTCGTATTTTCTGTTCGCTCTGATTTTGAACACCGAACTACCTTCCCTGTCGCTCTGGCGCGTCATCCGTTGAATCATTCTCTGGATCTTTTCACATATGTCACGTGGAGAGACCTTACGAATAACCTTTCCTGTACCTTTAAGTGTGACTCCCCATGGAGGCATAAATACCTTAAAAGAGATATCCGACTTTCAGTTTCCTGTGCCTTTACGTTTCACTTAAATACCGTAAATACATAGGTTGAACTCATAATACTTCTTAGTGAATTTTATCACCTGTCACATTTTGTGTTTACTTCAGACATAAATTCATTTTAGAGAGAAACCCAACTTTCAGTTTCCTGTGCCTTTACGTTTCACTTAAATACCGTAAATGCATAAGTTGACCTAATAATATCCCTTAGGAATGAATCTTGCTACTTCAGCTTTTTATCACCCATCACATTTTGTGTTTACTCCAGACATAAATTCATTTTAGAGAGATACCCGACTTTAGGTTTCCTGTACCTTTACGTGTCACTTAAATACCGTAAATGCATAGGTTGAATCAATACTCCTTTAAGGGGAGAGTCTGGTTGAAATTTTGGGTTAAATATTAATTGTGAAATCGGTCAAATTTTTTTTCTACACGTTATTAGACAGTAAAATTATTCAACTCTAAAATATTAATGCCTCTAATGTCAGAAATTACCCAGAAGATGGTAAAAAAGTTCAATCTTTATGACGTGTACAAGTTTTTTATCCGTTTCCATAGCAACCGTTTCAAATAAATGCACTTTTAAGGTCTCTGGAGGGTCTTTTTTAAGTCCGATGATTCGTTTGTTCCTGCAGTCCCTTCCAAGATTTATCTGTGTATATTTCCAAAGCTTAAGAAGGCCTGGATGCTTAGTACGGGATCATTTCGCTGTTCATGCTGATTCCTAGTGAATCTAGCTCATAGTAGCAATAACGCCATGCCAAAAGGAGGAGAAATCGGACTAAAACAGTCCGTTTTGAAAAGGAGTTCTCGAAAAAAAAGATACCAAAATTCAAGGGAGTCAAAAAGCAGAAGAAACTTCCCGTGGAATTTGCGAGAAATTCTGCGACAGAAATCACGTTTGTCGGTGAAGATGATATTGTGAGCGAGCAAATTCCACCGCCCGCTTCTTCGGCGTCATTCAGAAAACTTGTTTTCGAATGCACAGAAAGCTCTTCGGATGAAAGTATGGATCCGAAAGTTGAAATACCAGAAGGATACCGGCTTGTGTCCATGAATAGTCTTGTGGAATTTGCGAGAAGGATTCATTCCAATTCGCCATGTTCTTCCGGTGAGATAATTTTTTTTTCTTTCGCAATTTACGTTGTATTCATTATAAAATGTGGTTCTTTGTGGCTTTTCTCATATTGTGTCGTTGTCACTAAGTTAATTCTTTATTTTTGATGTTGTAGACCATCTAGAACTTCGAGAAATAAGCACAAGCCGATTTGGCCTCAGTAGCAGCTTATATGCTGTTTGTGATGATTGTGGTCTGTCGGAATTTCTGGCCACCGGTGATCATAATCCCTCAGACAATGCCCCCAGAACTTTGCAGGGAAAATATTTAAATAACAGAGTGGTTTACGCTGCCATTGAGATTGGAATTGGCAGAGAACAAGTTTTGTGAAATATTGAATATGCCTTTTTCCTTGAGCAAAGATACCTGGTACAGTCATGAGGATGCCTTGCTTCAAGCTCATACTGAAGTTGTCCAGGTTGAATTGGAGAAAAACAGTTGGGAAGCAAGGAAGCTGGCAATGATAGAACAAGGGGTCAGTGCAGGGGATGAGGACACTGTAATAAACATCCCAGTCAGTTTTGATGGCACATGGTCCAGGAGAGGATACACTGCCAACCATGGAATAATTGGTTTTGTTATCTCAGCTGCAACTGGAAAGGTTTTGGATTACGAAGTCATTTCAAAGGTATGCAACACTTGCATACAAAAAAAATCATCTTTAAATGAACATGAATTTGAACAGTGGGCTGAAAACCATACCTGTCGGGGTAGTTTTGGAGGCTCAAGTGCTAGCATGGAGATGGAATCTGTGAAGCGTCTGTGGGGTAAGAGTCAGGACTACTCCATTCAATACAAGTTTTTGATTTCCGATGGAGACTCCAAGTCTTATAGTGCCATTTGGAACTACTATGGGGCATGTGACACTTGTAATCAATATGAATCTTTAGAGTCAACAAGTGAAGAATACAAAATTTGGAAGGCATCTGAAGATTATGTCAAGTGGGAAAATGAACATCTCGATGGATCTGTGGATTGTGATAGAGTGATCAAACTTGATTGTATTGGACATGTCCAGAAGAGGCTAGGAAAGGCTCTGTATGAATTTCAAAGAACTGCTTTAAAACTGGAAAATGGTAAGCCTGTGAAAGGAAGACAGGGTTGATCAACAAAAACAGCAATCGAGAAAATGAAACGCTCTTATGGGAAAGCTATTCAAAATAATGTCAACAGAGACATTAACTCTGTAGAGGAGCGAGATGCTGCTGTCCAGGTTATGCAGACTGAAATTATGGCTGGCTTGTACCACAGCTTGAAGTTACCAAACAAAGAAAGACACAAGTATTGCCCAAACAATTCTTGGTGCAGGTACAAGAAGAAAATTCCTTGCCCCGATAAGCCTCACCACCTAGATCCGGTGTTTGAAGAGTATTTGCATCCTATTTGTGAGAGGCTCAGTGATCCTGCCCTTCTTCCAGGCTGTCTTTCTGGGTTTACTCAAAATGCAAATGAGTCTATCAATTCATTAGTGTGGATTAGATGCCCAAAACACAAATGGCATGGAAGGAAAAGAATTCTTTTGGCAACAGCATCAGCTAGCCTTCAATTTAGTGCAGGAGCAACAGCAAAGCATGAGGTGATGGCAAGGGCTGGGCTTGTTGTTGGGGCCACAATGGGAAAGAGAGCACCAGAAGAGACTCTGAGTGAATTAAAAAGGCTGAAAAAGGGATCCAGGATCAACATAAGAAATACAAAGTTGCTTGAAGACAAGCAAAACAAAGAGATGAGGAGCAGCAGAGACAAAAAGAAGGAACAACATACAGTGCTGGTGCTTTCAATGAACTGACTGTTACTACAGCACCAGGGAAAAAGAGAAAAAAAAATAGAAATTGTGATTTATAACTAGAAAATGATCTCAGGATACTTTAATAAGGCTGTTTTCATAATTAATTAATGATTGTTTTGTTGAAGGGATGTTTCACCACTGATTTTGCTTTCAAAATTTTAAGCAGCATTTTTCTCAAAAAGGCATTTTTACAGAGATTCTAGATGCCCCCCCTAGACTTTTTTGCTTTTATCCATTTTCTGCCAAATTTGGCTCAGTTACATATGAAAGGCTGCTCTACAAACCTATTGAGCCTTTTTTCTTTTTGATGAATTCTGTTGAAGTTATTCCAGGTTAAACTCTTTACAAAAGTATGCTGTTGCTATGGCAACACAATTTGGTGAAAACCAAAATCTCTCGATAGGTTTGTAGGAGAGTTTGTGTAGTGTTATTGTGTGAAATATTATGCTTACTGTATTAATAGAACAGAAAAAAAAGGAGGTGGGCATGAAATTAGTGAGAATTAGCCTCCATGATGAATTTGGTTAATATTTAACCGTAAATTTGCTTATTATGGTCTGCGAACCATATGCCACATTAGGCGGTGGGTTAGTCTATTTGCATGCAAAATTTTATGGTGATACATTAAGTAGCTGGAGTTTTATAATCTCTACAATCTATTAAAAGTTTGGGCCCAAAATGTAACCAGACTCCCCCCTTAAGTGACTCTTCCTACTTCAACATTATATGACCCATAGCATTCTGTGTTCACTCGAGATATGAATACCATTAAAGAGATACCCGACTCAGAGTTTCCGGATCAATATTTGTTCCTAGGCAACCGAGCTTGAAATAGGTGACTCAAGCTCGAAAGCCTACCCGAGCTTGAGTCACAACTCAACTCGAAAGATCAATATTTCCTGGGCGGAATATTGATCTTTGGAGTTGAGTTGTGACTCGAGCTTGGGTAGGCTTTCGAGCTCGGTTGTCTGGGAACAAATATTGATCCAAGTTTCCTGTGCCTTTACATTTCACTTAAATACCGTAAATGTATGGGTTCGAGCAATGCTTCTAATTTTACTGTTTTTTCGAAGATTTCAGATTTACTTACTGTTGCATGTGCTCTAAACTGCAGATGATGTTATGTTCGAAACTTACGCTGAATAATTTTTCCTCTTCCTTCAACTTTATTTTAATTAAATACTGCAAATGTTTTGGTTAACTGCTAGATATATCATGGGAGTTTTGATCGACAGTTTGAGAAATTCGGCCCGAACGTTAATTGAACAGTGAAGAATAAAAGCGTATCGGCATTTTTTTTTCTTTCTGACAGTGTCAATATTAGACATGAATATAATTGCTTTATGTCGTGGTTTGCTTAAAACCAGATAACTACCCATGACCTTTGTGGCTGGAGGACAATTTTTTGCTTTCACAGGTTGGGCTAAGTTGTTTCATTGTGGAAGAGATGTAACGAGTAGACATACATGACATATGTATTGTTTCTCCCTTCCTCGAGTCACGTGACACGATTCAGCGCCGGCCATATTTTGTACCTCCTCACGCGATATCCTTACTGCTCGTCACATAAGCCAGCTCTGAACAGGTGATGTAGCCTTTTTACTATCGTCTCAGTATGGGAAACCATTTGTGCTAATAGTATGAATCGGAGGTGATAAAACTCAATGGTTAGTGCAAGCTACAAATCGCAATCGTGAAGTCAGGAAGTTTGCTTACTCTGTAAAACCATGAATCCTGTTACATGACTGGGTAAAATTTCCGCACAGCCCTATACTATTGTAAAACAAATCTGTTTTCCCAATGGCAATGTATTGTTTTTGTCATTGTTTTCTCTAACCAAGAACTGAATGCATAATGTGGGATGGGGCTGTACGGAAATTTTACCCATGACTGGTCATGTGACTCTGAATATACTAAAAAGTTAGGAAAGTACTTATTAGTACAGTTTTACTTTCATTTACAAACGTTTGCCTATCATCTCAAGGGAAGAAAAAACATTTTTGTGTTAGACAAGATGAATTTGCACTAAATTTGTTTATATAAACTAGAATTGCTCTCTTAAAATAAAGTTTAAATCGATTTTGAAGAGTTATACTCTTTGCTAGAAAATGAAGCTGGCTTACTGGGTATCTGTGACCCTTTGACCATGTTTTTTATAAGACAAAACTCTTTGTGTCACTTTGAAAGTATTACTACAGTTTTACTTTCATAACTGAATATATGAAATCATTTATGTGAACTGCAGATAGAGAAGTGAATGTGAAAGTGATCTTTACAGTAATGACCACTTCTTGAGCAGGAGTGAAAACAAGGCCTGAAAAAAATTCAGACCTGTACAGGATTTGAACTCATTACCTCTGCAGCAATGTATGTGTATGCTCAAGTAGTATTTGTTTTGGAAGGGCTAGTTTTGCTGACTCGGGCAAAAATTTTGCAAAGCATTTGCACAAAGCATATTTGATTGATAATCTTGTTTTTGCCTTGTGATTGCTCTTTTGGTGAAGCTTGAAAAGATCAGAAAGTTCCGTTTACTTTCTACGCCAACTGCCATGCTTAATATCCATTTCTTTCCTTTTAAAAGTTCTCCATGCATTACATCTTGTGTTTTCCCAAACCAATTATGTATTTACATGTCCTTACTGACCAGACTTTCTCAGATGAAAGCCATTTTTCAGTGAACAACCTAAATTTATGACATAGTCCTACCTCACTGAAAAAATTTTGCATGAAAGTGAATGCTACAGTAAGTCAATTTTCACGCACTTCTAATTGCTTTTAGCTGCCTTGGACTTAACCCCATCACAGGTCAATTTCTTGTGAGCAACCTGCATTTTATCATGCATTCTGCACACACATGGTAAAGTCCAGATAGGCAAAAACCAAATAAGGAGCCCACTACAATCTGCTAAAATGAAAGTCTTTGAAATTTGGTTCTCTTTCCTTCATTCAAAAAAATTTTTGCTTGTCTGCAAAATATCTTCAGTTAGGGGCTATTGGAGGTGAAATAGATTTTTTGTTTGCTTTCAAAAGCAAAATGTGATAGAATATTTTTGAGGCAAGAAACTGTAACTGAATTTTGTCCCTGACATAGTATTAGCCTGCAAGCTGGACTTTGTGTGGTCTAGTCACACAACAGGGGAGATAGTGCATTGTGTGAGGAGACTTATAAATGGCTGTGAAGCAGATTACAGGTAGTGTGGCACTCAGATGCAGTCTATTTTTTGCAAACAATTATTCAGACATCAGTGGCAATAGACCATAAATGCATTAGTCTGAGTTTATTTCAGATAAAGTGGAAGGGTTTTATTTGCTCTCCATTGAACAATATTTTCATGGGAATCTTTTGAAACTAAATGCTATTTTTCTTTTACAAAAATGTAAACATCAGTCACTTAATGTCCCATTTCAAACCACCCATCCAAAAAAATAACTCTTGCTTGCATAGCATGCCCATGTTTAATTAGTGCTTTTAACTGAAGTCTCACAATGGTGATTGGTTCAACAACACAAGTGACTGACAATTGACCATTTTAGAATGGCAGCTAAACTGACTTGCAATTACAATTTGTTGCTAGCACTTATTATTGGGTATTATCATTAGCAATTCATATCTAGTACTAATGATTAAGTTTTATCAATAGCAATTCATATTTTCAGCACAAATGGCTGCAAAAGGTAATTTTAAACTCAACCCACTTTTGTCTTTATAATGATGGTGATGGATTTCTATAATGTATTCTATATAATGCTCTAATGCATTTACAACACTTAAGAGGGGGCTTTAGCCAGACAGTATCTAGAATTTTACAGGTTTATTAAGAGAATATAGTAGATGCCCCAAGTTAAGAATTTTTGTGGAAACGAAGGCAGACCACAACACTGTGAACTACCTTTCCTCCTCTTTGCGAGAAGTGTGTGGGTTCCTTAATGTCCACTGTTAACCAGAGGTTTATTTAATAAATTAATTGTAGTTTTTACACACATGTAAATTACACTGGTAAAGTCCAACTTGTTAATACAAGGATCTGATAAAACAATATTCCATACTGGAATTTTACACATATAGTGTAAATTACAATTTTAGAATTGAATAAGAGGGTCTCAATGAGGTGATGGATTTTAAGAATAATGGTTCATTTCTTCTGGTAAGTTTTAAAATAAAGTTTTGTTATGGTTAACATATTTACAACTAAAATTTGTTAATTTTCACTCCAAAAAGATAATTTTTTTAAGCCGGTTCATAGCTATTGAGACCCTCTTACAACTGTAGACTCTGCTTGAATGTCAGTGTGTCTTTACATATACGGTTAAAAATGGTTGCTTTCCTTTGAATACATGCAGCTATGCTTCATCACCTTACAATTTTATTTTTGAACAGTTGTTAAGCATGTTATCCAAACAGCAAAAGTTGCTTCTTGCTTGTGAAGGAATATAAAATGATAGTTTTGGCCCAACTTTTGTCAACAGTGACAAAAAAATAAGGCAAGAAATACTCAAAGTTGTTGCATGCTCTGTTACGTTTCATTCTATGCTTTAAACACAGGCCTAATAATTTCAAAAGGTGGATGGAGGCATCCTCAGGCAGACAAACCTGTTTGAAATTTCCTTCGATTTTAGATGTTGAAAAGTGGTCTGTTTTGGAAATCCCTTGTTTGGCAGATAACTTGATGTCTCAGCAGCTCTTCGAGTTCCCCTTCACTAGAATGTGACATATTGTGACACTCTGATATCTTTTTCTCAAGAAGTACTCAATGTCTACAAGTGACATGCAACTTTTATTTTGCACTTGTGATTTTCAAGTTGGATTTTTGTAAAAGGTTTCTTAAATTTGATACTTACCATCTTTTACACTTGTAGTGATACACCAGTAATTACAAGTTGGACGCTTGTAACCTGGACTTTTGACAATGTTTATTAAACTCGTTTTTGTCTGAACTTGTAAATACAATGGTCCAACTTGTAGATTACATGTGTAAAATTTTTATTAAATTCACTCCAGTAAAGAAGATGCAAGGGGACAAAAATCTCAGTAATCTCCCTGGATTTCCTTTGTGTGACTCTGATATTGAAGAAGATATTGAAGGTAAGAATCTTAATAAGCATATAAATCAGTGTGCCTTCCTGGCTGAGTGGAATTTGTTTTACCAATTACCTTGTTGATGTTCACAGATATTTTGGTGGCTTATCAGAAGATATTGACTTTTGGACAACTCTACCCTACTACCCATTACTAACCCATACAAAATTCACAGGAAATGATCATGAAAGAAAACCATGTATAGTTGAACCTGTATCAAGCAGCACCACATTAAGTGGTCACCTTATATAAAGTGGTTGGTTGTCAAAAGTTTGGATGAATTTTTCTCTTAAGTACTGTAGTTTTCACCTCAGTTGTGATCACCCTTGACTGAGTCCCAATGGGCATTTGTATTGTTGTCCATCTGTATTTAGGGATCACGTGAAGCAGAACCACTCAAATTAAACTATTAAGAATAATCTCTTAAGTCAAATTTATTCCATGTAAATCTTCAAGCCAAAATCAATGTTGGTACAAATTTTCCTGTCAGCACCTAAGGAAATGTATAGAGAATAGTATGGAGAATATAGATACTGATTTTAGGATGTTAATCCCAGGATTGAACAGATTCTATTGTACTCTACAGTACAACACAAAACAAAAGCACCAATCCACCATCTTGACTCTTAACCTTATACCTAAGGAAGACCATAGAAACTGATGGAATAATTGATTCCAAAACGAATTCATCCTCAAAGAAAAAGAGTTGTATCAATTAATTATAAACATCTTAGAGTGTAGCTCTAAGTGCTTCTTGCTATGTTGGCTAAATAGATAATTTGGCACAATTTTCAGGTAGCACCCCACAACCTTCACAACAAAACCAACAGGTATGTATGTACACCTTTAAAATCTAGCAAATATAGTAGCAGTTGAATGGAACAATTTCAGTCAATGCATTTTGAACAACATAAACAAAGTCAGAAAATCTCAGTGTGCATTATGGTATTTTTTTAAACAAAATAGTAACTTTAGACGTTAACTCATCATGTCAATTAATCCATTGTTATCTAATGAAAAGACAGTAAATCTACTGAATACCAATTATAATAAAGATATGAAAGGGAGGGTATTAGTGGCAGTGAAATATATAATTATTGAATGTATAATGATTGATCTATTAGGACGGGTACTGTTTGTCTGAACAAAAGGTGTTGGCAAGAAGTGCATTAAGTAACATTTGATGAAAAGGTAGTATCTTATGCTCCTGATTGGCTTTCTTCTTTCGTAATGCAAATGCTAGATACATGTACTTTGTATTTTTTAATGAAAATGCTTTAGACTTAATATCCAGATCATTTTCCCGGTTGGTAGTACATAATGTAAATCATGAGAAATACTAAATTCATTGAGGTCTCTGATGATTGACCACAATGTATGTAATGTATAACTATGTTTTTTATTTATTTTTCAACCTAGGCTTCTTCATCGCCTTCTCAGCAGCCGACAGTGTCTACACGTCAAGGCAAGTTGTGATTATGCTGTATTTTGCCGAAGAGCCATGCTTAATTTCTAGAAATAGATTTTGTTAGTCATCATATTTAACTCCCATATGACTCAGGAAACAAAAGGAATTTACATTTTACTCAGCAATTGAGTGCAAGGTCTTGTTTTGTTTTTTACTTGGGCTTTCCAAAGGAAACGCCCGAGTTGAAATTCCGGCTTCGTTTTTGAGTTTTTTTTTTTTTAATAACTCTATCTTAGCGTACAGAGTGGTATGTTGCTCGCACCAATTAGATCGTTTAGGGCACGTATCTCGCACCTATCAGATCGCCGCATTAGGGTATGTATCCCGCACCAATCAGAGCGTCGTTTTTGTTCTTTGGTTTGAGTGGTGTTCAAATTTC